AAATTTTCTCACATCTTTTCCGCTGAAAGGGTCGGGCTATTTTTAGAAAATGTTGTTGTGCCTCTTTAAGCCGAAAAGCTCTCTTGATTTGTCTCGTGAAGGAGACTCGGAATGTTTACCCCACATGCTTAGGCGCTGAGCGCAAACCACTGACGATTGATTACAGTTTCATGGGTACAACATCGACTTCTTCGGCTAACCACACATACGCGGTGCATTCGGTTATTGCCACGTAATCTTGGTCAGTATATCCGGTGCCGTCTCTCTGGCCCGCCATTCATCTTTTCCTTCTATACCTTCCTTCGCCTACCTCACTATGAAGCTTAGTGCGCTACTCACATCGTCTCTATGTCTCGCGGCTATAACTACCGGTGTCCAAATGTATCGTTATCTTCAAGCACAGAAACATTCAACCGTGACCAGAAGAAACGATTTTGCTGCGTGTGACGGTACAGAGAAGAGCTGTCGAACATTTTGCCTAGACTTACTCAAACAATTTCAGAGCATAACATCCTTCCCTGTCTCGACGTCGACCCCGAGCAGGTCGAAATGATACTCGAGGAAACCGTGCGATACGACACCGGGAGCAAATTGTCCAATGTCGAGTGGCTATCGACGAGAGCGCCATGGGGCCACGCAGGCTACGTGAGAATTGGTGAAGACTATCGCGCGTATGGCATTGCCATGGTGCACCAGCTGCACTGTGTCGAGATGTTTGCACGGGCACTGCCAGATCCCGAGGACGCAAACGCTAGTCCACCACACATCGCGCACTGCTTGCAGTATCTAAAGCAGCTTTTCCTGTGCAATTCAGATACAACCCTGGAACCGTACGATTTTGAGGACCGTGACTTCGCGTCTCACCCAGTCGGCATGAGTCGGACTTGCCGAAACTGGGCTGCTGTGTACGCAGCCGCGGACGAAAACTACGCGCGATGGGCCGCCCAAGCGGAGTCTATCGAAAACAGTTCCGCATCTGCTGCATCACGGTGACTGTCTTTACATGTCAGTTTTCACATCTCGTGGTTCCGGAACCCGTGCCCCACAGATGCGCTGACGACTTTGCATCATCTATAGTGGCCATACATGTTGAGCGAGCGTTAGCTTGGACGGTATACAGTACTCCCACGAGTACTTCTTTGGCCTATCATTCCCCATGCTGCATTTGGAAAAATAGCAAGTTGATCTCGTGAACCTAACAGCAGCGCCATTACACGGACGAGACAGACGTCGTCAGTTGTAAGTGTCCGGCTTCGTCCGAGCTTCGAGAAGATTTCATTGCCCTGTAACGTATAACAAGAAGCGCCAGGGGCAAGAACCTCGTGCAGATTATACGAATCAAATGAATCAGTCTCTCAAGGCTTTCCTACCTTCCGAGAAGTTGATAAGCTGCAAAGGCGACCAGTGCGTCACGCACGTAGTGGCGTGTATACCGATGAGTGCGGTGCTCGAAAGCTGTACAAGCGGGCGCGGCTTTGCTGAACTGGTCTAAACCATGCAAAGAAGCTGCTGATCTTCGGCCTCCATGTCGCAAATTTCCGTTTACCCTCATGAGGGAGACGCCCCAAGATTGCATCAAAATTGTATCAAAACCGCCTCACGAGGGAATCGTGAGGCCCTCATGAGGCAAATTTCGTGTCGTGATGCACATCACGATGCCCTAACGAGGCTTGTGAGAGAAAAGATCGCTATTGATGCATCATGATTTTGGGAAAAAATTTGCGACAATTACGTTCCCATGATCATAGAGACTATATATATATGTCACGATAACGGGATAGTTGTGTCCCATACTACCCTTCCCAGCTCTCTGCACGCGCAGAACGATTGGATACAAGGAGAGATTCCAGAACGTACAATATTCTGCTCCTTGCATGACCACATATAGCACAGATCTCGCGTACTAACCGCCTATTCAACAAGGCTATCCATCGGCTGCCCACCATGCAAGCCTCGCTTCACCTTGCAATTACCATTGCACTGCTTGGACTCATGTTGATGACAGTCCAAGCCCGCCCCCAAGCATGTGACGTTGTTGGTGTGTACCATACGACGACGACGGAGGGATTACATCAGGAAACACTGTTTGGCGCCGTAGTGGGGGCTTCACTCCGAAGCGTCCGAAGCTAGCGGCGCGCGGAGCTGCCCGCCGCGTAGCACAAGGAGTTGCGGTAGTGGCCTCGGAGTAGAGGCTCACCTTCTGTTTTCATTATAGCCACAATTACTCATCTTCTAGTAATATAATGATTCCTGTAACCAACTAGCTAGTACTACAGTCGTTCAGAAAGCCCGCACACGAGAATGAGACACTACTTTGCGCGGGCGCTTGGAG